AATATTAAAATAATAATAATTACATTCTCCATAAGTCTATGATCACTCATAAGTAACGCGGGCAGTATAGTTTGGTATAGTATATGCAAAATAAACACAAGCTTTTAGTTGGTGTCTGTCTTTGTTCGATGAAATATATTTATGTCGATTTCGAAGCTATTTAAGTATGTCCATTAGGTATTTAAAACCTATTTTTAACCGACTTCCAAAAGAAGGAGGTTATCAATTCGACTATTATGTTTCTTTTGTGTTGTTTGTTACGCGATTACTCCATTTATTTTTATTGTTCTTTTTTTATTTGAAAAATTATACTCCTGAGGTGGTCCCATTTAAATTTGGTGAAGATCTGATGCTGGTCTTCGGAGATATACAATGGAACTCTTCAAAAATAGACGTTAAATCGGTCGTGATGGCTGCAATCGCTTGGATGTTTATATGCTTGTCAAATATTTTTATAGGATATTACAAATAAAAATGGAAAAATAAAAAAAACTTTTTTGCAAAAAAAAACCGACATCAAAATAAACACAAATCGAACACAAAAAGAAAAACACTAAAAGTGAAAAATAACTTTAGCTTCAGAAGCCGGTGACAAAAATACCAAATCAATCAAACAAAGGTCAAGCTTCAGAAGCCGGTGACAAAAAACACCACATCAATCAAACAAAGGTCAAGCTTCGAAGTCGATGGTTGTGGGCTTCGGTTTCCGCATTTAGACTCAGAGTGGTCCTTTATGCGTCGAGGATTGGTTGACTAGGTGAGCCAGCCAAGCTCCTTCCAGAAGCGCAGAAGCCTCCTGGGGCGTTCACAGGCTTCTAGGAGCGACTTTATATCATGAATGAAACTTGCCCGTTGTGTGGCCACTCCCTCGCATTCCAGGACTACGTGGACGGCCGTTTCTTCAGCTTCCAGACATTCCCTGCACAGGGGACTGTCCTTCGCATTGATTATGAATAGTTGTCGGTTCAGGGCTAGATTTCCTGTAATAGTTCCGACAACCACTCTGATTTCCGGTCTGCTAAGACTGATCAGTCTGCAGGTGAGTCGTGGTGTGACTTGATTCAGCACCAGTTTGGACTGTCTGCAGCCGGGTGAGTTTTTCCACCTCCGGTTGTGTGCTTCACAGGTCCGTTGCCTGACCCAGCATCGTATTTGGTTAAACGATATGGGCAGGAGTGGGGTTGGGCCAGAGGTTGGGGTTGCCGAGCCCCTCCTTGCCAACTCATCTGCGGCATCGTTCCCGTGTGAGTTACTGTGCCTTTTAATCCATTGGAGGAGTACCCCATTGAATATAGCGAGCTGTTCCAGTGCATGGCATTCGAAGACAATACCAGAGGTCATTGTGTTGCCCTCCAATGCCTTTAAGACGGCCATGCTGTCGGATATTATTCGGATGGTGTAGTCCTTGATACCCCTTGACATGGCCGTTGTGGCAGCGTAAGTTATTGCCACACATTGACATTGAAATATGGAACTGTGTTGGCCTAACGCTAGTGATATGTTTATATTTAGGTCTTGCGAGAAAACTCCGGCTCCAGTTCCTGACCTAGTCTTGGAACCGTCCGTGTAAATTCGGACTTCGTTAATGCCGGATTGATCTCGGTCATTTCCATGTATCTGGATGTAGTATCTTCTTGTGAAGATATGGTGTTTTGGGATTCTATCGCATGGAGCTGCTATCAGTGGTTCGTATTCCACCAATTGATCCCATAATTTGGAGTGCGATCCCTCACTTTTGTGCCATAGACCCAGGTGTTTGAGTCTAATGATCGCCATGGCGGCCTCCTGCTGTATGAATAAATCCAGGGGTGGCAGACCAAGAGCCACCTCCAGTGCGGCAGTAGGCGTTGTGCGCATACAGCCAGTGACCGCGGAGCATGGGAGTCGCTGGAATTGCTGCAGTTTGTTTATGACAGTGCTTAGCTCTGTTCTCTGCCACCAGACAACAGCACCGTAAGTGATTAATGGTCTTATGACTGTCCTGTATAGCCATAAAGTAATTTTGGGTGATAGTCCCCAGCTTTTGCCGAGTAGCCGCTTGCATTGGCAGAAAATAATGCAGGCTTTATTCAGTTTTTCATCGAGGTGCTTATTCCACAGGAGTTTACTGTCCAGTATTACTCCTAGGTATTTGACCTCTTTGGTAAGAGTAAGTTGTGTTCCAAATAGCTTGGGAAGTCTGAGATGTCCTAGGCTGCGTTTGTTTGTGAACATGATCATCTCTGTTTTGGATGGGTGCTACGCACCATTGTTCCACGATCTTCAGTGCAAGTCTCATTTGATCGCATGTAATGCTCTCAAAAGGACCGCTGATGAGAATAGTAAGATCATCTGCATAGCCTATTGTGAGGAATCTTTGGTCATTAAGTTGTGCGATGAGCTCATCCACAACAATGTTCCATAGAAGGGGGGAGAGTACACCGCCCTGGGGGCAACCTCTAGCCACCACTGCTCTAGTCACTTCGCTCACAGTGAATTGAATAGCTCTATATCTTAGCATGCTGTCGATCCACCCTGAGATTGTGGAATCTACACCATGCCTAGACAGAGCTTGGCTAATGCTGGTGAAGTTGGTCTTGTCAAAGGCTCCCTCGATATCGATAAAGGTGGCCAGTGTTGACCTTTTGTGATTTAGATTGTCTTCTATATATGAAACAACTCGATGTAGGGCAGATTCTGTTGATTTACCCATCGAGTATGCGTGTTGATTGAGGTGTAGAGGGTGACTGACTAACGCAGTTTCCCTGATTTCCCTATCTATTAGCCTCCCGAGAACCTTTAGTAAGAAAGATGTGAGACTAATAGGTCGGTGTGATTTGGGTTGTGTGTAGTCACCTTTACCAGGTTTAGGGATGAAGACTACTTTAACTTCTCTCCATTTCAAGGGGATGTACTGATGCGCCAGGCAGCCCCTATAAATTTTTACAAGATGGTTCAGTAGTGTCATATCACACCATCTCAGTAGGCCTGGGAAGACACCATTTAGTCCTGGCGCCTTGAATGGTAGGAAGCTGTTAATTGCCCATCTTAGTTTGTCATGGTTGACAACTTTGCGGGCCGTATCCCAGTCTGTATCATCTGGTGGGTTTTCCCATCTGTCTTCCCATTTTTCCATCACATCTGATATGCGACTTCCAGGGAAGTGTGTTTTTAATAACAGCTCTGAGGCTTCCGAGTCTGTTTTGGTATACTCACCATCAGGCTTCTTCAGTGAGCCAAGATTGTGTTCGCCTCTACTGCACAGTATGTTTTTGACTCTATTACCCTGGTTGTTGTTCTCTATGTTAGTTCAGAAGTTACTCCAGCACTCAGTTTTCCTGGTTCTGATTCTCTCCTTATATTGTTGTCGGGCCTGCGTGTAGGCATCCCAATGTTGGTCTAATCGCGAGTTTTTTGCTTTATTGAACAACTTTCTCACTTTACGACGTAGTCTTTCCAGTTCCGGACCCCACCATTGGTGGTTTTTTCTGTGGTCCAGTTCTGGGTGTGGAAAGTGCCCACTTTGTGTCATGTGTCATGTTTGTTCAAAGCAATCGATCAGTGTCTGTGTAAGGTTGACAACATGTCTGTCAATGTCCTTAACAGTCCCCGTAGCGTATCTTGGGTTGATGCTTCGCAGTTTCTCCGCAGTAAGATGTTCATACCCTTTCCGGTCCATTGTGCGGGGATCCCGTCGGGGATCGGGTAGTTTAAGTTTCATTTCAAAGTTAAATTTGATCCAGCGATGGTCTGAGCACGATGCTTCGTTCGAAACATGCCAGTTCGATATGTGTTGCGATGCGTGCTCACTTGCTAATGTAAGATCAATTATAGTTTGGGCCCTGGATGTGACAAATGTCGGCTCCGAGCCCACGTTGATAATGTTAAGGTTAGTTGATAATAGGAACGATTCGAAGTCGGTGACAAAAGCACTAAATCTATCAAACAAAGGTTCCTTGTATGAGGCGACAAATCTTTAAAAAACCTGAAGAGAAAATATGTAGTGGGCCCTTAAACATATCACGTGACCAACCCGGTCTGAGCAGTACTGCTTCTGAAAGATTTATAATTGAAGGAGACCGAGACCAACCCGGTCCGAGCAGTACTGCTTCTGAAAGATTTATAATTGAAGGAGACCGAGATCTCGTTAGTTCAAATAATTTTGCAGCTGGACCCCATACCCTTTATTACAAGAAATTATTATACCAATTACGGAATATTGATAAGAAAGACGCGATTGAATATGATTTTTATTATGATTTTTTATTGATTGATATTTGATATGATTGAATATTTGAAATAAATATAATATTATTTTTTGGTACTGATTTTTATTGATTCGTGTTCAGTATCAGTGGTATAGTCACCTCCTACTAACTTACTATTTAGGTATTATTCGTGTACACAAAACATTTCGTAATATTGTATAACACAGTCATACTTTGAATACAGTTGTTTCATCTGATTATTATACGTATACTACAGAAGATACGCGTCGAGCGAGCGCGTAGGTACACGCGCGATCGTTTTCGATGTGAGGGGAGCGGGCAGGGGAGCGCGGGTGAATTCTTAAATTTTGCTGGCTTTATACGCGCTCTTAATAGACCTCGACGGACTGAATGGGGAAGGCTGAGTACCGTGTACGAGGTACATTGTGAGACACTTGTGTACAGCAGTGGACTTATAGCAGTCTACTGCTGGACACGGATTGGTAATTGTTGATTGATAGGTTAGCTAACGACGAAATAAATAATTGAAACCGGTGTTAAGCAATTCTTTCGTCGCCTTTCACTGAGTGAGTTAGGTTACCGGAGCCCAAAATCCCCCCTCCCGCTGATTTGAGCGAAAGGGACTCCAAGGCAACGCACTTGCAACTTTTGAGTTGCAGGTCTCCATGGGCGGCGGTAGTTGCTTACCATCAAACGACCCGTCTGCTCGTTTGCCCCCTAATACCATAAAAAAATTGAAATTTCTTTTAATTTTAGGATGACTGTCGAGGTGCACTGGGATCATATTTGCAAATGTTCATCACGTTGGGTTTCCTGATGGTGTATTCTGTTGGTCCTTTCGTCTCTTATCACGTCATTGCCTACTTGGGCCTGGCAATAGTGACGGTCTTCTGCATCAGTTTTTTCTTTATGCCGGAGTCACCTATTTTCCACTTAACTAAAGGTTAGTCACTTGAAGTACTTTATAACGATATATATACCCATAGGGTCACATGGTCAACAGTGGATCACCTGTTTTTACTGAGGATATTGCCGAAATTAAATATTGGAATCGATTGAAAGTTTGCAGATCCATTGAGAATATAATAACGTTTCACGGCGTGTAACTTGAGATATAAGGAAAAAAATGTTTTTTTTTTAAACGGGAACTGTGTATTAGGAGGGGTACACGTTGAATAATCTAGCGGTACACAGTGGACTTAAGAGAATTCAGAGGCAAACTAAGGTCAAAATGAAAACAAAGTTGAGGATAATCACTTTTTTATTAGAAATAAGTAACAAAACGTTTTATCTACGTAACAAAACAAAGTAAATAATTTTTAGTTTTAATTTAGTGTAACATTTGTATCCATGGGAGGCCTTCGTTCAGCAGTTGACGGTAATAGGCTGATGATGATGATTGTATCTATGATTACATCACAGTCAGTTTCTGACAGTCTTCTATTTTCTTACCATCAGCGCCAATAATATTGCAAGTAGTGCACAGAATTCCTTTCTCACCATTACTGACGTTAATCACATTTTTGTGGCCCTTGGGAGCTAATACTTTTGGCGCCTTGTGAACAGTAGCAGTGGCTGTTTCATCCAAGCTATATATTTGTGTTTCATCCGCAAATCTAGGGTGTCGTTTGAGGACATCTCTTAGATTATCAAAGAAATTTTTGATAGTCTCCTATTGTTAAATGGCGTGGCTCTCGCTAAACTGCATGATTCAGGCTTACGCAGAGAAAGGTCAGGATGTCTTTGCCAAATACCTTCTCAAGTCTCAACCAGTCTATGCCCACCATTTCTGTTCAGACCAAGTTTGAGGCATTTTGATGTTGTTATGAAGCGCCATTTGGTATGCTATTTGTCAGCAATCTTTAGTTGATAGACCACAAAAAAGTAGCGCACATTTTCAATAATACTGTTTCAGTATATTTTCTTGTTCATTTGAATATATTTTGGAATAAACCTTTGTTCAACTTCTAAATATATATTGTTTTCGATTGCTTCGAATGCTTTTTCGTTCTTTTACTTCCCTTAAAGCAGTTTTCTTCTGATGGGCAGTATAAGCACCCAGTTTTCTTTTTTCAACTCTTTGTTTGGGTATTCTGAAACAAAAATAGAAAAATGATAAGCGCATACACGATTCATTGTGTACCCGATCCACTTGACACACTACGTACTCGATCTATACGATCCACTGTGCACCAACCCGTTCCATAATTAAAAAAAAGAAATACAAACAAATGTTACAAATATACAGAGTTACTTCTATTAGAACTTCGCGCGTTTTCAATCAAATTAACAAAGTACACCGGAATTAATAAGTAATATTTAATCAGAAGACAATTATAAATCGAAATTAAAGTTACGTATTTTTTTTGTGAGATTTATAAATGTAAATCTCACATGTCTACCGTGCTGCGAAGTCGCAGACGCACTGGGGATAGGGACGTGAGACGCTCACACTTATTGTCATCAAAACTTGTGTGATCCGAAGCGTACCACTGATCCACTGTTAAGCATGTGACCCACTTATAAGAATAGACGAATAGAGCAGAATTACTTTATAAGAATACATTCATACTTCATTATATAGTATAAAATGAAGTGACTTTTTTTCTTGTACGCTTTTAGATCTTTTTTGTGCGCTTAAATTGCAAACGCTGGCTAAACCTTACAAGATAGATCAAAATTATGTCTATCTCCTAAAGATAACCACAGTAACCATTTTTATCATATTTACATATTACTATAAATAATGGGTAATTTACTAAACTATTTTGAACAAAACAGTATTATTCCTTATCCAAATAAATACGTTAGGTACATTGTGCATTAAATTTACTCGTAAATTTAAATTGTCTTTGAATGAATATCTTAGTAGATATCAGAGATTAAAAAATATGAGGGCTACGCGGCCGTTGTCACGTCGCCGCGTCGGGACGTACGTCCGTCCTGGGTGGCAGCGGCCGGCAGAAGCGGAGCTACAAATATTGCATATAAAGATGTCCTGTAATATATAGTGTTGTCATAATAATAGCTTATTAATTACCTCACACTGAAACCACATTAGTGGTACCTACCTATCCACATTGACCCCGTGCCAAGCCGGCGCGGATCGCTAGTATATTAAAAGCTAGTTTTTGCCCGAGGCTCCGCCGCTTGTCGGTAATCGTGCTAAAAAGTATCCTTATGTTACTCGCTGATAATGTAACTTTCCTTTAGTGAAAAGATTTTTTAAATCGGATTATTGATTTAGGCGTGAAAACGTAAACAAACTAACAATCAGCTTGTTAAAACAACAGCTTCTCCGCAGTGACAAAGAAAATAAATAAATTATATTTTATTTTTAATGTTAGCCTTGTCAATTACTTCAATGTCACATTAAAGTGACAAGCAGTCTTACTTTTCAGTATATATTTTAAGGTACTTTCCGTGTGGTGACGGATTAAGAATACGTAATGTCACCACCCCTATTTATCCCGTGGGTGTCGTAAAAGTCGACTAAGGGAGAAAACTACGCAAGACAACAGCACTGCAAAGAGAAGGAAAACTTGAAACAAAACCCTATACCAACCCGTCTGGCCAGCGTGGTATAGTAGGCCAAAACCTCCTTTCAGAGGAGAGGTCTATGTCCAGCAGTGGGCTATAATAGGCTGTTGATTATGATATATTTTAAGGATCATCTGCATAGCATAAACATTTCAAGTGTATCAGTACGAATACAGTATAAGTATAATTTCGCAGGTAATAAGGAAGCTGCAACGGAGTGTCTGGCCAAAATTCGCGGTCGTTCTCACGAAGCCGTGAAAAGTGAGGTTGACAAAATGGAGAGAGAAATTCAAATGTCTATGGCTAAAACTGCCACGGTAGGTATACTATTCTCTAAAACTCGAATGCCAATTATTAACAAACAACTTTTTTTCTTTCGATAGCCCAATTCTCCTGTAAGTGCGGATGAGTGAATTTAGAGGCGGTTGAAATTTATTTTATTTATTTATTTATGGCTAACATACAATTGTTTACACTGCACCTTACAATTTATTTGCAAACTTATTACTAACATAACTCGTAATTGTAACAATTAATTAAAGACTAACACCGCATGCTTAGAATATTATTTATTTATTTGTTTGAAGGAAAACCAACAGCTTTAACATTGAGATAGTGACAATAATATAAAACTATGTTTATTATGACGGTTTACACTTTAAAAATGGAATATATCTTAAATTAGAGATATAATTATAACAACAATTTTTCTTTTGTAGTTTTCTCTAACTGATACTCGATGTAATGATGTTTTTATCTCAAAGAAAGAATCAGGGTTCATTCATTTTGTCAAATGTCATTCTGAAAAGTCCCAAGATGTCTGGGATTTTTAAATTATCTCGTGTGTCGGGGACTGCCCAAAATGTCGTGATTTCCCAAACCCTGTTCACGAATCTGAAGCTATATTTTCAATGAATGTGAAATGAATGCTCTTACATCGATTAATTACTTATAGATATATTAAATAAATATATATATCCATTTATTAATTTTGTAACAAATACTCAAAAATCATAGAAATTTTAAATATTTGTGATAAAAATATTAAATAATAACCAGCGGCTTTCGATTCTCTTTCGTATGATATGCTTAATTCATTTCGGCCATTTTTGACTACCGTGACCATTATTGACAAATCAGAAAAGATGGCAGATACATACCTATTGAGCCTCAGATTAAGAGCGATCGGCATGGAAATGAGCACTGGTTATAAACTAAAAATACCTTCCTTTATTTTTAGTTCGCCGATGTATTCCGTGGAAGCAATTTCAAGGCGTTATACATCTCGTTGACGTTGATGCTCCTGCAGCAGGTCAGCGGTATCAACGCTGTGCTCTTCTTTTTGAGCAATATCTTCTCAGAAGCCGGAGCCAGCCTTGATGCGTCCATTTCGGCTATTATTGTTGGAGCAATGCAGGTTAAGAGAATATTGCACAAGCTTATTGGAGTGAAAACTTTTTTAGGCACGTTGGGCATTTTTGAACAACAAACAAAAGAATTTATTTTTGAGATGGGAAAAGCCATTGAACTCGCGACACCGTTACTATTACCGACACTCTTTTCAAATCGGAAAAAACATGTTTTTTTTCTTTTTGAATAAGCAGTTTTTATCGACAAGGATACGCCATCCCTATCGTACCCTATCATACATAGTACCCTATCACAAAAGTTTCCTGTTATAATAAAAAAAAAATGAAGTTTTCACTTCTGTCAGAACTCCCGGAGTTGCCCTGTTTTTTTTTTGTAACTTCATCCTCAATCCTGAAAGACTGAAATTTTTGTTTATTTTAATGTTTTCATTTAACTTTTAAAAATCAAATCGTCATAAACCTTAGTATTCCATACAAAATCAAGTTAAACGATAAAATCATTGCCATAGACAAGTATTGTCGATATTATTTTTTAGAAATCTGCCATATTATTTTATTACTCAAGTGTCCTCATGTTACAGGTGCTTGCATCCTCGCTTACCCCCTTTGCGGCCGACAAACTTGGTCGTCGTCCCCTGCTGCTCATTTCAAGTTGTGGTACCAGTATTGGACTAGTAAGTCATCTTGATAGTATCCTTATAAAAAAAGAAATCTAGCGCAACTACTTGCCAGGAAAGAAGAACTTAATGGTCAGACCATCATTACTATGGTACTATAATATGAGCTCAAACTCGAGTGGCTGTCCATCTCCTAGGTTTACCATCTGTCAGTTTCAACATGGCGAAGATGCTAAACAACATTTCGTTTCGAAACGACAGTTAAAAGTAAGTTTAAATTCAAGATTCGTTTTCCAAACCACTCAGGTTCCAAGAAATAATCGTTTCGTACGAAAGCTTGAAACTTGATTGGTCAGGTGCGGGGCTTAATGCGTCACTAATTTCTTAACGCGAAGGGGCCGTAGTTAGAAGTATAGCTAATAAAAACATGTTAATATTCGATTACCCTTTACACACATTCCACAAAAACATACCTCAATAGAATCTAACTAAGACACACCAAACTAAGGAGTAACTAAAAATCCCGCATCGCGCAACGAACTTCCTCATGCCGATTAGTCATATACAACTTCCCAATATAAACCGTTTCGCCATGGCCACCCTGGCATCACCTAGCCTGGTCGCATCACTTCCCTTTGTTAGGAGGGATATAAAGCCCGTTCCAACACGTAGGTAATTGACCGTTACTAACTGAAGATTCTTCATGGCGCAATGAAGTTTCACATCTCATAAAACACCATTCTTTATCTCCAGTCCCAGTACTAACAAAGTTTATCCAAATGTATATTTCTCTTTCAGGGTCTTTTAGCAGTGTACTTTATCCTTGCTGAAAATGAAAATCCTGTAGTGGAGAGTATCGGCTTCCTGCCGATCGTGGCTTTAGTCCTGTTTATAGTGACGTACTGCTGGGGCCTGGGGCCTCTGCCATGGGGCCGTCATGTCCGAGCTCTTTCCAATCGAAGTTAAGGCCACCGCAGCTCCCATCGCTACGGCTTTCTGCTCGATTTTGACTTTCTTAGTCACGAGGTAAATAATCGGTACTCTGTTTGTTCATTTGTCACTTACTTTTTCTTAGCAACACCTAATGGTTGTTGGTAGTGAATGCTTTAATTTCTAAAGGGTGTTAGAAAAGTACCGGAACAGCAGAATTAATCGCTAGGGATGACCTTCGATTGGTGACCTTTAGAAGGCAAAATTTGCGTACTGAAGGTTTATCTAATTGTAATCTAACACCCAATACCACAATAACACCAATACCATAACGAGGTGGATTATATAATGACGAATCAACCTGGGCAAGTTCACCTGCTTCGATATAAGTAGTAGTCCTCAACTTTGCAACTGACCACCGTATGATACGATGTGCACTTAACCTGAATATGAAAAAAAGCAGAAAGTTCATTAAAAAAGTACCCCATACGCTAGGAACTTGCCACCTATAACAGGCGAAAGCGGCAAATTCTGGGAAAATCAATTAAAGTTGGCCATTAACAATTCTTCAGATATTCAATGCCAATACAATGGCTTCGAGGCGCAGATAAAAGCGGTTATCCAAGAACTACCAAAACAAGCTATTATTAAAAAACAAATAAGCACTAATTCTCAAGAATTGTTAGCGGAACGTAAAAAACTATACAAATTAAAAAGAACGAAGCAAGTAAGAGAACAAATCACTCGAATAAGTAAAGAAATAATAAAAGTTTACGGAAAGACGACAAACTCCACAGGCAACAAATTGTTGAGTCATACATACAGAAAACTGGAGCGATAAAGAAAGCTTTCAACGATCTTAGGAACAAATCAGAGTGGGCACCTAATTTGAGGAATAAAGCCGGGAAACATGTCACTCAAAGAGTGCAACAGAGTTTTTCAGGAATTTATATGCATCGGAAGAAGCGCTGTCCATCGAACCCCAACCCATGCAATGTTTAGACCATAAATCAACTTTATATACAGGTGTGCTTAAGGAAGAGATTAGGTACGTCATAAATTCACAAAAAATGAATAAAGCACCGGGCGAAGACAATATCACCAACGAGTTACTGAGAGCTCTATCAGAACCGTTACAAAGCACTCTAAAAATTTTATTTGACAACATATTGATCACCGGAACTACTCCGAAGCAGTGGTCTGACTCTACCATCGTCTTATTGTACAAAAAAGGTGATAGGAGTGAACTCAATAACTACCGACCTATCAGTCTAATGTCGAACATATACAAACTATTTTCTAAATTAATTCTAAACCGAATAACAAACATTTTGGATGAAAACCAGCCAAGTGAGCAAGCAGGCTTCCGAAAGAGCTACTCCACTTTGGATCATATTCATGTGGTGGCACAGGCAATTGAAAAGGTCAAGGAATATAACAAAACACTGTATATATGTTTCATAGACTATAAAAAAGCGTTCGATTCCTTAAAACACAATATAATCTGGGATACACTTCGTGAACAAGGCGTGGAATCACAATATATTACTGTGTTACAAAACATATATAACGAAAGCTGTGCAAAGATTAGACTAGAAAAAGAGGGAGAGAAATTTGCTATAAGGAAAGGTGTCCGACAGGGTGATCCATTATCACCAAAAATATTTACAGCCGTTCTAGAGAGTATATTTCGAAAACTAGATTGGTCGAAGAAGGGACTGCTAGTAAATGGAGAATATCTAAGCCATCTCCGTTTTGCAGATGACATAGTTGTCTTCGCTGAAAATCATGAAGATTTGTCTAGAATGCTGAGTGAACTAACACAGGAAAGTATAAAGGTGGGTCTGTCTATCAATTTCACAAAAACCAAATAATCACAAATAGTGAAGTGAAAAAATACAGTCATTATTGATGGTCAGGACATAGAATATGTCAAAGATTATATATATCTAGGTCAATCTGTTTCTTTTGAACACCACACCGAGGAGAA